GAGGAAGGGTCACTGGACCCGAAACGTTAACTCTGTTTTCTCCTCCACAGATGTTGCCAGACCTGCTGAGCTTTTCCAGCAACTTTGTTTTTGTGTCTGTTCATAATGTTTATTTCGTGACTTCAGGATGTTTCAAGTGTTTAACAATCAACTAACTACTTGTAGTCATACTTATAATGTAGGAAACAGAACCAATTTGTGCACAGTAAGCTCACATAAATCGAAATTAAATAAATAACATTTTTGGTTGCCTTGGTTGAGAAGCAAATATTGGTATGAACATAGGTTAGAGTGGGGGGGGTGGTTGGTGGCAGGGGGGGCATGGTTAGTACTCATTAGAATTAAGAATGAGAGGCAGCCTTATTGAAATATATAAGTTTCATAAGGGGACTTGACAGGGTCGATGTAGAAAAGTTGTCTCCCCTGGTGGGAGACTGTAGGCCCAGAGGACATAATCTCAGAGTAAAGGGGTCACCGTCTCAGAGGCCAATAAATCTGTGGAATTCTTTACTGCAGAGGCCTATCAAAGTTGAGTCATTAAATATATTCAAGGCTGAGACAGACAGATATAATCAGTAAAGGCATCAACGGTTATCAGGAAAGGCAGGAAAGGAGTTGGGAATGATCAGATCAGCCAAGATCTCATTGAATGTTGGAGCAGATTCAATGGGCTGAATGGCTTATTCCTGCTCCTACATTTTATGAGTTTAAAATGCGGTGGGATTTTTATAATCACTTTAATCAGCGAGAGTATCAGCATAACATGTGCTTTGTATTCTAATTTAAACAGGTTAATGTTGAAAGACATAAATGAATGTGCTGCGACATCCATATACCAATGGGACTCTTACTGCATGCTGCCTAGGTTTGGCCCAAACATGTAAAATAGTGATTAAATCTTGGAAAAACTCTGCAGTTAAAATGGTAGCAAAACTGAAGGATTATCAGAATCCAGTCTTTCCACCCGACTTCTTGGAAAATTTCCAAAATTATAATTTATAGAAACACATTTATAAGAATAATCTTTTACAGAGAAGGAAGCAGCTGAAACTGAAATAATTTGCATGATTCAATGGGTGGGATCCACTGTCTAGTTCAGAACACACACTGCTCGGAGTTTCAGAGTTACAAGTCATTAACTGGCTCCAGACTCCAGACTGTTGTATGCTACGCCTGCAGGGCTTTAATTTAAATAGGCAAATTAAAGTACAGAACCTCGGGACTCAAGCAATAGCGTTTAAGTAAATGTTTAAAAAAAAAGTGAAGCTAAATTAAAAAAGCACACTGCTCAATGATTGTTAAAAATATGACTGAAAACATTTCTGATGTTTGTGTTAAGCATCAATCTCTCTCATTATCCGACTGGCCCTAGCTCCAGCAAAGGAACAAAGCTTCCTTCAGGCAAAATTTGTAGAAAATGCAAAATTATATTTTAAAGAAATACAATACAAATAAAAGCTGGGCTACAGCTGGAGCAGAAATGGAATTCTTGATTGTATAAAACTACACATAAATTTAAAATGTATTGGCTGAAAAGGTGATTTAATAGCAACTTCAAAAACAAACTGGTTGAAAATGAAAAAGAGAAAGGGGAATGAAACTAATTGGATAGCTCTTTCAAACTGCCAACATGAGCACAATGGTTGAAGTGGCCCCTTCCAATGTTGATATTTGCATGATTCTAAGTCAGGATTCAATTTGTGCCCAAAAATACAGCCTGGAAGTTACTTCAATCGTTTATTCACTTTCTGTTACATAGCTCTCCAGTCTACTTGGATTCTCATATTACAGAAAGAGAAAGATATATATCTCACAATGAACCAGAGGCAAACACAGGCGCAAAGCGCGAGACTGGAGCAGCAAGGACGAAATGAGGTATATGGAGGCGAGTTGGTCTATAGATACGGATGTGAAAAGAAAGTTGGCAAAGTGGAGGGGCGAGTGGGCTGCAAGGAGGCACGGCAAGAGGAGAAAGAGTAATTTGTAACCCTGCAAAACAGGTATACTCAACCGGTCATGAGCCAGAATAGGTGAATTCCTTGCAAATTAATGTGAAATCTCTATCTTAAGGGTGAAAGGGAGTTCAGGAGCTAGCGTACAGGGGAAAATGTAGTGGACACTATTCAGATGAATACCGTGTCAACCAAATAATTTAATATTACAGTTTTATTCTAAGGATTTGAGTTACATTACAGATTTCAAAGACTTCCTCATCTGGAATTATATGAGGTGCAATAACTGTGTTAGAGATAAACTATTTATCCATGACTTCACCAGCCTGCAGAGTGTATTTAGAGTGATGGCTTGTGTGCGAACGTCTTAAGCTTTTTAAAAACATAATATTGCTAATTTATTACCTTTGCTTGTGCAAATTTAAGTACAATGATGCCTATGGAATTAATATTTCCCTTGTGTTGAGGATAATTTAATGAACCAATTTAATGAGGCAATTATTGATGATATTGTTGAATTCTTCTAATTCTGCTTCCGATAAAGTCTAAAACCTCCCATATGTCATAAATACAGAAGGTATTTGTTGCACCTGACAGAATGAATAAACAAACAAACAAACAAACACCGAATAAAGAAGATGGTGAGTATGTAGAAGGAACCCCCAAAAGCAAGTCTCTCAAATTCAAAAGTAGCCATCAAGAAAATCTGAAAAGGAACAAGTGAAAAAAGAAATGACTTTGATCCCTGATATCCCTTCTGAACTTCAGAGAAGAAATTGGCTAAAGATAAAATTCCGAACCACTCGCCTGCTCAAATTGGAGTCAATAATAAACAAAACAAAAGGGAGGTAGAGGGGGCAGCGGTGGCGGTAGGAGATGGAGAAATAACCACCAATTTCAAAACAATAATTAAGCATTAGACTCACTCACTGGCTTTGTGTATTCACCCAATAAATATCTGAGAAATACAAATCAGACAAGATTCCAGACTGATTTTTCACGTCTACTGAATTAGTTGACCTCAAACCAGGGTGGTAGTAGGGAATCTATAACTGACCATTAATTTGACAGCATAACAATGAAAAATCCATTTGAATTCTTCTTTGATTCCAATCCAGTGCACCTTAATTTGGAGTGTGCATATAAATCCTGAGCAGGACAAAATGAAGCTCTATGATGTTTCCTGATAGTTTAATCATTTTGTACTGTAAAGATGGATGCATTAATAATAGCTAGTGGATTAAATACAAACTGCACATGCCCAAGTAACAGCATTTCAGCAGAGTTAATGCTTTCAAGAGAGGAGGAAAAATCGAAGAGACACAAAAAATTACACAACAGATTTAACACACTTTCCACAAGAAGCAATATTGTGAATATTCAAAATCGGAATCAAAAACAGAAAATGCTACAAAATTCATTAGATGTGGCATTACCTATGGGTATACAATTAGAGTTAATATTTCAGTTTGATGATCAGAGGAAACGTCAACCTGAAAGATCAACCTTGTTTCTCTTTGCATAGATGCTGCCAGATCTGTTGAGTATTCCTTAGGATTATTTTGCGATTATTTACACTAATTAACTTGCTTAAACATACTCTTCTCTTAAGTTCGGAAGGGGTACCAGGGATCAAAGTCATTTCTTTTTTAACACAACCTAATTATTTAGCAAGTCCTTCCTGCTCTTGTCAAATCACCTCACCTTGATTCTCTCAATGCCTGCTTCAATCCTCAGTTGTTCCACGAGTTTCCGTGCTTGTGCTATGTTGTTAGTTGTTGACATTGTCTGCCATCTATTCTAGGCCAAGGCCAATCTGTAAAACAGAAAGAAAGACAGATTTTTATGAAAAACTCAAAGTACAAGAACTTCCAATATTTACAAATGGATTCAATTTTGGTCTTCAGTCCCACTGTCCTGTTTTGAAAGAATTAACTGTATCAGAACAAATACCAAAATTGGCATTTATAATTATTTTTATAGAACATAACAATCCTATTTACGCAAAAGGCCTTATGATCATCATAAATAATTCTTCCCAGTGATTCACTGGCAGATTGTCTTTTTACCCCAAAAAGTCTTGCTGCTGTGAAGTTTTGCATAAAATTTCAATAAACACAACAAGCTGAATGTATTATAGACGATCGACTGCTGCAGCCAAAAGCTGGTTGATGGTGGCGGTTCATGGTTTCACTTTGTTCCCTGATGGCGATGTATTCCTGGCAATGCCCAATTAAGTAACCGTTAGCAAATTAAGTTTGATGGCATCAAGGCTGCAATACCCGGGCAGGTCACCTCAAATGACTGGGAGAGGCTGGTCTCAGCGATAGGGATGGCGATTCAAGGTGCATGGGCAGCACCATTACCACATGAATCATCTGCCATCTATTCCGGGGACAGTGGTGTAGGCCACAAGGTTCCACACAAAAAACAAGAATGGCCCCAACCATCTCCTCAATGAGAGGAGAGGCTGTTAGGTTTTACTAATCTGCCTCTCCATCCAGCGGTGGGCTGTCTCACAAGTGGCCAATGTTTTCGCCACTGCGAAATGGCACAGCAGCAGGAAGATATGGGCACCTCCACCTTCCTGCCTCCTAGCACATTGCCAAGGACTGATAAAATTCCTTCGACATATTTTGCATTTTGCAAGCCAGGCTGGATACTCTGACTGATCTGTGACAGCCAAAACAATAAGGGGTCAAATCATGTCCATCCTTTTGACTTGATAAAAGAAAAGGGGAAAGAAGTTAAGGTTGAGGAGAAACTGAACAAAATCATTTTGTGTTAACACCTGATTTAATTGTAGCCACTCAGCCCCATAATTAAATCTATTGGGCTAGTCAAACATTTCTCGGGATAGCGCTAACGAATTTAGTTTTCCTTTTTCATTTGTTTGTACTATTCTACAAGTCGACAAAAATACTTAGATACTCCACTGTCGAATCGGAAATGATCAGAAAAACTGCCACAAAGTCTTGATGTCAACTTGTAAATATTTATTAATCAAAATTCTTACAAGTAAGTCTTGTTTTTTGCATAGTTTTTAATGCAAAGAGGTGAAAACATACTAGTTTTTTTTAAAATTGGTGCTATTTTAATTCAGATTCCAAAAGAACAATAATTGTAAGCAAGATTGAGTACACAGTTTGCACTAGTAATTCACCTTACTCCTCTTAGCAGCAACATCATACAGCCAGCAAACATTGAGAGCATTTAATTAACACCCAGTTACCTAAGATCTAAAATGCATCAACATTAAAGCAGCTGGTAATCAGCTTCTCCCTTTTATTGTCTCTAAACTAAATCTGAACACTGAGCCAAAGCAACGGGATGTTTTAAGGTCTGGTACAAAAGCAATATCAGATGCTTCTCAGAACTTTATGGGAAGTTAGAGAAGAGATTTCTGGGCCCCTTGGTGAGATATTTGTATCATTGACAGCCATCGGCGAGATGCCAGAAGACTAGGGATTGGCTAATGTGATGCCGTTATTTAAGAAAAGCTGTAAAGAAAAACCAGGGAGCCTTACATAAGTGGTGGGAAAGTTGTTGCATGAGATTCTAAGGGCAAGATTTACATTCATTTGGAAAGGCAAGGATTGATTAGGGATAGTCAACATGACTTAGTGAGACATGATTTCCCATGCACAAAGATTGAGTTTTTTTTTAAAAAGAGGTTACAAAAAGATTGAAGTAGTTGAGTGGTAGATGTTGTCTATACGGACTTCAGCAAAGCATTCAACAAGGTTCCACATGGTAGTGGTTAGTAAGGTAAGATCACATGGGATTCACAGGGAGCTAGCCATGAGAACAGCTTCAGCCGTGATCTTGGGTTCATGTCGCACTATATGTAACCCCACCACACTGTTCTGTATCTGTAAAATCTTTCCTACTGTCCTCTTTTTACAGCATTGCCTTGATAAATTGTTATGATCTCCTACCCTAATTAGTTTGTACAGTTTTGAATTACTTACCAGTTTGGTTAGACCCTCAGCATGCGACTCTTATACCTATCATGTTATTCCAGTCATTTAGTTTGTTTCCAGCACCACCTTATTTTGAATTTTTTGTAATTATCTCTCTGACTCACTTAATCGGATTATAGGTCATCCAGCTGTTGACACTTTATTCACATCATCTAACATTCTTGGTCACCTGCACAGACTAATTATCTGCCACTCCACTCACTTGTTGTATGATCTTTTGATCTCTCTGCCCATAAACTCCGTGTTCTATGTGCTTCTCTCTCACTGTGCCTTGCAAAGGAGCTATGTTTCGAAAGCTTGTGTTTTCAAATAAACCTGTTGGACTATAACCTGGAGTCGTGTGACGTCTGAAATTAGCTTGAAGATAGGAGACAGAGGGTGGCAGGGTTAGTAAGTTTGCAGATGACATCAATATAGGTGGTGTAATGGACAGTGAAGATTATCTCAGTACAACGGGACCTTGATAAGATGGACCAATGGGCTAAGGAATAGCAGATGAGTTTAGATAAATATGAGGTGTTGCACTTTGGTGAGGCAAACCAGGGCAGGGCTTATACAATTAATCTAAGGTTTTGGAGTAGATCTGTAGCTCGGGTTGTGGGTGTTGAGGTTGGTTGGCTCGCCGAGCTGGTTTGTTGTTCCGCAGACGTTTTGTTACTGTGCTTGGTAACATCCTCAGTGCAGCCTCTGATGAAGCGTCGGTGTGTTTTCCCGCCCGGTTTTTAAACTCTGGAGTCCGTGCGATGGATTGCCTCACTTCGGGGTTTCCTCCGTAGTGGAACGTATATGGGGTCGAGTTCAATGTGTTTATTAATGAGGATGTTACCAAGCACGGTAACAAAACGTCTGCAGAACAACAAACCAGCTCGGCGAGCCAGCCAACCTCAACACCCACAACCCGAGCTACAGGTGACATGGCACTCCACGAAGCATGCTATTAATAAACACATTGAACTCGACCCCATATACATTTCACTACAAAGGAAACCTGGAAGTGAGGCAATCCATCGCAATGGACCCCAGAGTTTAAAAACCAGGTGGGAAAACACACCGACACTTCATCAGAGGCTGCACTGAGGATGTTACCAAGCACGGTAACGAAACATCTGCGGAACAACAAACCAGCTCGGCGAGCCAATCAACCTTATACAATTAATGATAGGACCCTGGGGAGTGTTGCTGAACAAACAGACCCAAGGGTGCTTGGTTCCTTGAAAGAGGCGGAGTCACAGATAGACAGGGTGATGAAGGGGTATGCTTGCCTTCATTGGCAAGAATGTTGAGTGTAGGAGTTGGGACATCATGTTGCGGCTGTACAGGGTACAAGTGAGGTCACATTTGGAATACTGCATACAATTCTGGTCACCCTTCTTTAGGAAAGACGTTGTCAATCTTGAGATGGCACAGAAAAGATTTACAAGGATGTTGCTGGGACTGGAGGGTTTGAGCAATAGGGAGAGGCTGAATAGGCTGGGACTTCTTCCCCTGGAGTGTTGGAGGTTGAGGGTTGAGGGTTGAGGGTTGACCTTATAGAAGGTTACAAAATCATGACGGGCATGGATATGGTGAATAGGCAAGGTCTTTTTTCTTAGGGTAGGGGAGTCCAAAATTAGAGGGCATAGATTTAAGGTGAGGGGGAAAGATTTAAAAGGGACCTGAAGAGTAATCTTTTCACACAGAGGGTGGTGCGTGTATAGAATGAGCTGCCACAGGAAGTGGAGGCAGGTGCAATTACAACATTTAAAAGGCATCTGGATGAGAATATGAATAGGAAGGGTTTAGAGGAATATAGGTCAAATTGGGACGTCTGGCCGGCACAGAAGAGTTGGACCGAAAGGTCTCTTTCAGTGCTGTATGCCGGAGTCTAATTATTAGTAATGGAGTGCCATGTGGCGGCAATAGTCCAACACTGCTGAACCCAAAGTTTGAGGGGCATTGTTGTGCAAGGCAGGGAGAAAGCAATACAAAGATGTGATTATCCTTGAAAGGTTGTGATCTCGCAGACAACTTTACAGCACCACTATTGGGGCATTTATAGTCACCAGTTCTCTTGAACTCACTTGGAAGCTGGAGAAAAAAAATGGAAGACCTAAAATTGTAATGACCCATCACTTTGAGATTTCGCATTTTATTTTATTCATTAATGGGATTTAGGGGGTGCTTGTCAGGCCAGCATTTATTGCCAATCCCAGATTGCCCTGGAGAAGTTAGTAGTGAGCTGCCTCTTGAACCACAGTTGCCTTTGAGGTGTAGAAAAATTTGCATTGCTGTTATGAAGGGAGCTCCAAGATCTTGACCTAGTCCTAATGAAGGAACAGCGATATAGTCCCATGTCAGGATGGTGTGAGACTTGGAGGGGAATATGTAAGTGGAGGTGCTCCCAAGCATTCATTGTTCTTCTTCTCCTTCTCCTTCTTCTTCTTGACTTCTTCTTCGTGATCTAAACCACAGGCTTGGGAGGGCTGTTGAAGGAGCTTTAGCAAGTTCCAACAGTGCATCTTGTAGATGGTGCACACTGCTGCCACTGTACGGTGGTGGTGAAGGAACTTAACATTTAAAATTGTAGTTGGAGTGTGAATCACACAGATGCTTTGCCCTGGATGACAATGAGCTGCTTCAGTTTTGAAGCTAAACACATCTAAGCAAGTGCAGAATATTCCATTCCACTTTTGCCTCACACCTTACAGATGGTGGGAACATTGAGGAGACAGGTAGCGAGTTACTTGACAATGAATTCCTAGCTTCTGGCCTGATCTTATAGCCATTTTATTTATGTGGCTGGGCCAGTATCCCAGGGTGCTGATAGTGACATTCTGCAATGAAATTAAAAACC